GTGGATCGGGTCCAGTAATGTCTCACTCTAACGGTAAACTGTCTACACATTCAGGATCGGGACCAGTAATGTCTTACTCTAACGGTAAACTGTCTACACCTTGAGGATCGGGCCCAGTAATGTCTACACATTGTGGAATGGGGAACAATAATGTCTTACACTAACGGTAAACTGTCTACACATTGTGGATCGGGCCCATTAATGTCTTACTCTAACGGTAAACTGTCTACACCTTGAGGATTGTCCCAGTAATGCCTTACTCTAACGGTAAACTGTCTACACGATGTGGATCGGGCCCAGTAATGTCTTACTCTAACGGTAAACTGTCTACACCTTGAGGATTGTCCCAGTAATGCCTTACTCTAACGGTAAACTGTCTACACGATGTGGATCGGGCCCATTAATGTCTTACTCTAACGGTAAACTGTCTACACGTTGCGGAACGGGCCATTATGGTCTTACTCTAACGGTAAACTGTCTACACATTGAGGATCGGGCCCATTATGGTCTTACTCTAACAGTAAACTGTCTACACGTTGTGGATCGGGCCCAGTAATGTCTTACTCTGACGGTAAACTGTCTACACATTGAGGATCGGGCCCAGTAATGTCTTACTCTGACGGTAAACTGTCTACACATTGAGGATCGGGCCCATTATGGTCTTACTCTAACAGTAAACTGTCTACACGTTGTGTATCGGGCCCAGTAATGTCTTACTCTGACGGTAAACTGTCTACACATTGAGGATCGGGCTCAGTAATGTCTTACTCTGACGGTAAACTGTCTACACATTGAGGATCGGGCCCATTATGGTCTTACTCTAACAGTAAACTGTCTACACGTTGTGGATCGGGCCCAGTAATGTCTTACTCTGACGGTAAACTGTCTACACAATGAGGATCGGGCCCATTAATGAATTACACTAACGGTAAACTATCTACACATTGTGGATCGGGCCCAGTAATGTCTTACTGTGACGGTAATCTGTCTACACATTGAGGATCGTGCCCAGTAATGTCTTACTCTGACGGTAAAATGTCTACACATTGAGGATCGGGCCCATTATCGTCTTACTCTAACGGTAAACCGTCTACATATTGAGCATCGGGCCCATTAATGTCTTACTCTAACGTTAAACTGTCCACACGTTGTGGATCGGGCCCAGTAATGTCATACCCTAACGGTAAACTGTCTACAGATTTTCGAACGGGCCCAGTAATGTCTAACTCTAACGGTAAACTGTCTACACATTGTGGATCGGGCCCAGTAATGTCTTACTCTAACGGTAAACTGTCTACACGATGTGAATAGGGCCCATTAATGTCTTACTCTAACGGTAAACTGTCTACACCTTGAGGATTGTCCTAGTAATGCCTTACTCTAACGGTAAACTGTCTACACGTTGTGGATCGGGCCATTATGATCTTACCCTAACGGTAAACTGTCTACACATTTTGGATCGGGCCCAGTAATGTCTTACTCTAACGGTAAACTGTCTACACATTTTGGATCGGGCCGAGTAATGTCTCACCCTAACAGTAAACTGTCTAAACATTGTGGATCGGCCCAGTAATATCTTACTCTAACGGTAAACTGTCTACACATTGTGGATCGGGCCCAGTAATGTCTTACTCTAACGGTAAACTGTCTACACATTGAGGATCGGGCCCATTATGGTCTTACTCTAACAGTAAACTGTCTACACATTGAGGATCGGGACCAGTAATGTCTTACTCTAACGGTAAACTGTCTACACCTTCAGGATCGGGCCCAGTAATGTCTACACATTGTGGAATGGGGAACAATAATGTCTTACACTAACGTTAAACTGTCTACAGATTGTGGATCGGGCCCAGTAATGTCTAACTCTAACGGTAAACTGTCTATACGTTGTGGATCGGGCCCAGTAATGTCTAACTCTAACGGTAAACTGTTTACACATTGTGGATCGGGCCCAGTAATGTCTTACTCTAACGGTAAACTGTCTACACATTCAGGATCGGGACCAGTAATGTCTTACTCTAACGGTAAACTGTATGCACGTTGAGGATTGGGCCCAGTTATGTCTTACTCTAACGGTAAACTGTCTACACATTCAGGATCGGGACCAGTAATGTCTTACTGTAACTGTAAACTGTTTACACATTGTGGATCGGGCCCAGTAATGTCTTACTCTAACGGTAAACTGTCTACACATTTTGGATCGGGCCCAGTAATGTCTTACCCTAACGGTAAACTGTCTACACCTTGAGGATCGGGACCAGTAATGTCTTACTCTAACGGTAAACTGTCTACACCTTGAGGATCGGGCCCAGTAATGTCTACACATTGTGGAATGGGGAACAATAATGTCTTACACTAACGGTAAACTGTCTACACATTGTGGATCGGGCCCAGTAATGTCTTACTCTAACGGTAAACTGTTTACACATTGTGGATCGGGCCCAGTAATGTCTTACTCTAACGGTTAACTGTCTACACATTTTGGATTGGGCCCAGTAATGTCTTACCCTAACGGTAAACTGTCTACACATTGTGGATCGGGCCCAGTAATGTCTTACACTAACGGTAAACTGTCTACACATTGTGGATCGGGCCCAGTAATGTTTTACTCTAACGGTAAACTGTCTACACGTTGTGGATCGGGCCCAGTAGTGTCTTACTCTAATGGTAAACTGTCTACACATTTTGGATCGGGCCCAGTAATGTCTTACCCTAGCGGTAAACTGTCTACACGTTGTGGATCGGGCCCAGTAATGTCTTACTCTAACGGTAAACTGTCTGCACATTTTGGATCGGGCCCAGTAATGTCTAACTCTAACGGTAAACTGTCTACAGATAGAGGATCGGGCCCAGTAATGACTTACTCTAACGTTAGGCTGTCCACACGTTGTGGATCGGGCCCAGTAATGTCTTACCCTAACGGTAAACTGTCTACACATTGCGGATCGGGCCCAGTAATGTCTTACTCTAACGGAAATTTTGTTTACACGTTGTGGATCGGGCCCAGTAATGTATTACTCTAACGGTAAACTGTCTACACGTTGTGGATCGGGCCCAATGATGTCTTACTCTAACGGTAAACTGTCTACACGTTGTTGATCGGGCCCAGTAATGTCTTACCCTAACGGTAAACTGTCTACACGTTGTGGATCGGGCCCAGTAATGTCTTACTCTAACGGTAAACTGTCTACACATTGTGGATCTGACCCAGTAATGTCTCACTCTAACGGTAAACTGTCTACACATTCAGGATCGGGACCAGTAATGTCTTACTCTAACGGTAAACTGTCGACACCTTGAGGATCGGGCCCAGTAATGTCTACACATTGTGGAATGGGGAACAATAATGTCTTACACTAACGGTAAACTGTCTACACATTGTGGATCGGGCCCAGTAATGTCTAACTCTAACGGTAAACTGTCTATACGTTGTGGATCGGGCCCAGTAATGTCTTACTCTAACGGTAAACTGTTTACGCATTGTGGATCGGGCCCAGTAATGTCTTACTCTAACGGTTAACTGTCTACACATTTTGGATTGGGCCCAGTAATGTCTTACCCTAACGGTAAACTGTCTACACATTGTGGATCGGGCCCAGTAATGTCTTACACTAACGGTAAACTGTCTACACATTGTGGATCGGGCCCAGTAATGTTTTACTCTAACGGTAAACTGTCTACACGTTGTGGATCGGGCCCAGTAATGTCTTACTCTAATGGTAAACTGTCTACACATTTTGGATCGGGCCCAGTAATGTCTTACCCTAACGGTAAACTGTCTACACGTTGTGGATCGGGCCCAGTAATGTCTTACTCTAACGGTAAACTGTCTGCACATTTTGGATCGGGCCCAGTTATGTCTAACTCTAACGGTAAACTGTCTACAGATAGAGGATCGGGCCCAGTAATGACTTACTCTAACGTTAGGCTGTCCACACGTTGTGGATCGGGCCCAGTAATGTCTTACCCTAACTGTAAACTGTCTACACATTGAGGATCGGGCCCAGTAATGTCTTACTCTAACGTTAAGCTGTCCACACGTTGTGGATCGGGCCCAGTAATGTCTTACCCTAACGGTAAACTGTCTACAGATTTTCGAACGGGCCTAGTAATGTCTAACTCTAACGGTAAACTGTCTACACATTGTGGATCGGGCCCAGTAATGTCTTACTCTAACGGTAAACTGTCTACACGATGTGGATCAGGCCCAATGATGTCTTACTCTAACGGTAAACTGTCTACACGTTGTTGATCGGGCCCAGTAATGTCTTACCCTAACGGTAAACTGTCTACACATTTTGGATTGGGCCCTGTAATGTCTTACTCTAACGGAAATTTTGTTTACACGTTGTGGATCGGGCCCAGTAATGTATTACTCTAACGGTAAACTGTCTACACGTTGTTGATCGGGCCCATTAATGTTTTACTCTAACGGTAAACTGTCTGTTTTTCTAATCATTGAAACTGCTCTCGAATTTTACTTTTACCTGTACCTAAATTTCGCATATGCTCTGCATCTTGAGCCATTGATACGTAATAAAGAAATTGTGCTGCCTCTATAAATGTACTGTGCTGTATCCATGACGACCGTAACGGCTTACCCTAACACCGATTGATCTTGACTCAAATTGTCAAACAGGATTCAAAGCAAACGTGAATATGCAACCAAATACCAAGAGTGATTCGAAGGCGACCTGGACAACGATACGTGTGGGAGTTTCTCTCTCAGGACGTGTAACATTCAACTTTGGTAAACTGGTCATTTAAGTTATCTTTACGACCAGCATGTTCGTGTTCGGGACGTCAGTCCGTCCTCAGTGTTTGTTTGTAATTTCTTAACATTACTGACGTGACAAGGAATTCCCTGCTTTGGACTGAACCATATATTCCTCTTTGTTATCACCTGTTCGCCAGCACATATTATCTTCACTATTTGACAATGATTCAATAACGTAATCTGTGAAAAGGGTCTGTTTTTTTCTCCTAGAAAAACTTGAACTAATTTATTCGATTTTATTGATATTCACGATACAGTGATCAAATGGCAAATATAAATATGAAAACATGCGTATCAGGCTGTTTTGATTCACTTCATTGCCTTGGAAAAGTAATTACCCAAAGTCCATATCGACCGCGAAGCTAAGTCTCGATGGTATTGGATACAGGTTCCGAAACAGTTCCCTTGTGGTCACACTCCATTACTTCACTGTTTATATTCTTAGGTAATGCAATAATTGTGAAATAATCCATACACAGGCCATATATTACTTGGTAAGAAACGACTCTCTTCGTTGAGGTATTCTCGAGTTTTGATGAGATGTTACTGCCATTAAGAGAAGGCCATTCTTAATATTTCACAGTTCTTGTTTTGAATGAAAAGTTTGCGTTGCTGACTCAAGCAGGCAATACGCTCGGGCTGAAGTCACGTCACATGAATGCATACCCTACACATACACATAGCTATGGGCCCCCTATGAATACACCTGTAAATATGAGACAGTCCGCTGCCCTGAAGAAACCAGTCGGCACGGACATATATGTCCGGGGCCCGGTTTAAGTGAATGAAAACCTGCTCAGCTACATCCCCATCCCATAACCATACAGAGCTGTTTGATTGAGGAACATCGGGGACACCTGTACCATTAGTCCAAACTACCAACCCTGTTTCCATGACAACATTAGCACAGTATAATCATCCATTGCTTGTGGCTAGAGGCTTGCTGACACATGTTATTGTATCCCATTTGTGTACATCGATGCTCATGACGTTGATCACTGAGTTCCCTGGTCCAGACTCGACAAGTTACATGTCGCCGCCATACAGTTCCAATGTTCCTGATTGCTGAGTTAAACAAACAAACAAACAAAACAAAACAAAACTTCCACTGACGCGTTCTCGCTCCAAGCGGTGTCTGCAGGTTCCAGCTCACTTGGTGAATTCTAATTATGTACCGACCTCAGTTCCTCATAGCCAGAACAGCTGGCAGAGGCAGATTGTCCCTCACAGGTGAGTCCGTCATACATCCTTGCTTCATCAACGACATCGTACTGAGGAGCATCTCCTTCCTCTGGGGGCACGTCCATGTCCTGGGTAGGAGTGACGTACAGCTGGAACCTGCAAATGATTGATAGGCGTTTTGTAGAAATTCACGGATGACATATCGATCCAATTTATTGATAACAACTTCTTCATTACAGAGCACAAATAAGTTATTATCTCTACGTTATGTATTCTTTGAAACCAGCCTACGATGTTTGTTTAGACTACATGTTGGATCGGGAACGAATGTTTAGTTGTTCTCAATTAAAAATAAATAACGGAACACATATACGGGAAGTTGTGTTAAGTTGTGCCCAAACCAGAATATGACTTTCATGATGGGCATGTGTATGATCTGATGACTGTATGAAGAGTGTGGAACCTCAGCGTCACGATGCTCGGTGAGTCAAAGTCCATAGAAACAGCATTTGGCATTTATTTCGACGTTTCAGACAAAGAATCAACGTACATAACCCAACTACTAACTATCCTACATAAAACTGATGGACTCGATCTAAGCATCTCTGGAACATAGGGGTCGGGTGGTCAGGCTCGCTGACTTGGTTGACACATCATTTTATCTCAGTTGAGTAGATGCCCATGCTGTTGATCACATGGCTGCAGCGTTAAACTAAACTCATTCACAAACTCACTAACTCATTCGTGTGTTTTACCTCCCCGCTAGCACGTGTTGCTTCCTTTTAGAGTATCAATGTTTTGGGATAATGTTATATTCTACCCACACAAATCCCTCCCGGTCTATGCAAACGTGTGGAACGCATATTCATTATGCCTATTCCTTTTATATATCAGCAACCTCCGTCAAGTAATTCCAATGTGTCTATGTGTGGTTTGTTTTATCAAGCGTATGGACCATTCAGGTTGTGTGTTACATTAATGACAAGAAATAAGGAAATTGTAACGCCATTTCAACACGAAGCAAAACCGGAATATAATGATTCATTGAACCTTCCGTGTACTACAGAGGTCAGCCCAGCTACATCAGGTCGGGTTGTACGGTGTGTATGTTGGGCCATGTTAGTCAGAGGTTGATGAAACAGGACGACATTCCACATCGTCAATACAAACAGAGACACATTCATCCATTGAACACCGACCACATGGATCCCGGCTGACATAATGAACGCTTTAAACAATCACTTGGTATTGTGAATACAGAATATCGTGGTTCGCTCATTCCCTCACTCACCTTTCTGATCTCAAACGTTGACAGTAACTACAGCACGCAGCCAGGGTGGCCATTACAATGAAAAGGAGAGAGGCTGTAGCTAGTCCTGTAGATGTGATGTAGCCAGTTCCACGTTGATACCTACCAAACAACGGAGTTAACGAGTTAATACAATAAAGGAGAGAGGCTGTAGCTAGTCCTGTAGATGTGATGTAGCCAGTTCCACGTTGTTACCTACCAAACAACGGAGTTACGGAGTTAATACAATAAAGGAGAGAGCCTGTAGCTAGTCGTGTAGATAGTGATGTAGCCAGTTCCACGTTGATACCTACCACACAACGGAGTTAACGAGTTACTACAATAAAGGAGAGAGGCTGTAGTTAGTCCTGTAGATAGTGATGTAGCCAGTTCCACGTTGATACCTACCAAACAACGGAGTTAACGAGTTCATACAATAAAGGAGAGAGGCTACAGGTAGTCCCGTAGATATTGCTGTAGCCAGTTCCACGTTGATATCTACCACACAACGGAGTTAACGGGTTAATACAATAAAGGAGATAGGCTGTAGCTAGTCATGTAGATAGTGATGTAGCCAGTTCCACGTTGATACCTACCAAACAACGGGGTTAACGAGATAATGCAATAAAGGAGAGAGGCTGTAGCTAGTCCTGTAGATAGTGATGTAGCCAGTTCCACGTTGATACCTACCAAACAACGGAGTTAACGAGTTCATACAATAAAGGAGAGAGGCTACAGGTAGTCCCGTAGATATTGCTGTAGCCAGTTCCACGTTGATATCTACCAAACAACGGAGCTAACGAGTTAATGCAATAAAGGAGAGAGGCTGTAGTTAGTCCTGTAGATAGTGCTATGGCCAGTTCCACGTTGATACCTACCACACATCGGAGTTACGGAGTTAATACAATAAAGGAGAGAGCCTGTAGCTAGTCGTGTAGATAGTGATGTAGCCAGTTCCACGTTGATACCTACCAAACAACGGAGTTAACGAGTTAATACAATAAAGGAGAGAGGCTGTAGCTAGTCCTGTAGATGTGATGTAGCCAGTTCCACGTTGTTACCTACCAAACAACGGAGTTACGGAGTTAATACAATAAAGGAGAGAGCCTGTAGCTAGTCGTGTAGATAGTGATGTAGCCAGTTCCACGTTGATACCTACCACACAACGGAGTTAACGAGTTACTACAATAAAGGAGAGAGGCTGTAGTTAGTCCTGTAGATAGTGATGTAGCCAGTTCCACGTTGATACCTACCAAACAACGGAGTTAACGAGTTCATACAATAAAGGAGAGAGGCTACAGGTAGTCCCGTAGATATTGCTGTAGCCAGTTCCACGTTGATATCTACCAAACAACGGAGTTAACGGGTTAATACAATAAAGGAGATAGGCTGTAGCTAGTCATGTAGATAGTGATGTAGCCAGTTCCACGTTGATACCTACCAAACAACGGGGTTAACGAGATAATGCAATAAAGGAGAGAGGCTGTAGCTAGTCCTGTAGATAGTGATGTAGCCAGTTCCACGTTGATACCTACCAAACAACGGAGTTAACGAGTTCATACAATAAAGGAGAGAGGCTACAGGTAGTCCCGTAGATATTGCTGTAGCCAGTTCCACGTTGATATCTACCAAACAACGGAGCTAACGAGTTAATGCAATAAAGGAGAGAGGCTGTAGTTAGTCCTGTAGATAGTGCTATGGCCAGTTCCACGTTGATACCTACCACACATCGGAGTTACGGAGTTAATACAATAAAGGAGAGAGCCTGTAGCTAGTCGTGTAGATAGTGATGTAGCCAGTTCCACGTTGATACCTACCAAACAACGGAGTTAACGGGTTAATACAATAAAGGAGATAGGCTGTAGCTAGTCCTGTAGATAGTGATGTAGCCAGTTCCACGTTGATACCTACCAAACAACGGGGTTAACGAGTTAATGCAATAGAGGAGAGAGGCTGTAGCTAGTCCTGTAGATAGTGATGTAGCCAGTTCCACGATGATACCTACCAAACAACGGAGTTAACGAGTTAATACAATAAAGGAGAGAGGCTGTAGCTAGTCCTGTAGATAGTGATGTAGCCAGTTCCACGTTGATACCTACCAAACAACGGGGTTAACGAGTTAATGCAATAAAGGAGAGAGGCTGTAGCTAGTCCTGTAGATAGTGATGTAGCCAGTTCCACGTTGATACCTACCAAACAACGGAGTTAACGAGTTAATACAATAAAGGAGAGAGGCTACAGCTAGTCCTGTAGATAGTGCTGTAGCCAGTTCCACGTTGATATCTACCAAACAACGGGGTTAACGAGTTAATACAATAAAGGAAAGAGGCTACAGCTAGTCCTGTAGATAGTGCTGTAGCCAGTTCCACGTTGATACCTACCAAACAACGGAATTAACGAGTTAATACAATAAAGGAGAGAGGCTACAGCTAGTCCTATAGATAGTGCTGTAGCCAGTTCCACGTTGATACCTACCAAACAACGGAATTAACGAGTTAATACAATAAAGGAGAGAGGCTACAGGTAGTCATGTAGATAGTGATGTAGCCAGTTCCACGTTGATACCTACCACACAACGGAGTTAACGAGTTAATACAATAGAGGAGAGAGGCTGTAGCTAGTCCTGTAGATGTGATGTAGCCAGTTCCACGTTAATACCTACCACACAACGGAGTTAACGAGTTAATACAATAAAGGAGAGAGGCTGTAGTTAGTCATGTAGATAGTGCTATAGCCAGTTCCACGATGATACCTACCAAACAACGGAGTTAATCGGTTAATACAATAAAGGAGATAGGCTGTAGCTAGTCCTGTAGATAGTGATGTAGCCAGTTCCACGTTGATACCTACCAAACAACGGGGTTAACGAGTTAATACAATAAAGGAGTGAGGCTGTAGCTAGTCCTGTAGATAGTGATGTAGCCAGTTCCACGTTGATACCTACCAAACAACGGGCTTAATGAGTAAATACAATAAAGGAGTGAGGCTGTAGCTAGTCCTGTAGATAGTGATGTAGCCAGTTCCACGTTGATACCTACCAAACAACGGAGTTAACGAGTTAATACAATAAAGGAGAGAGGCTACTGGTAGTCCTGTAGATAGTGATGTAGCCAGTTCCACGTTGATATCTACCAAACAACGGGGTTAACGAGTTAATACAATAAAGGAGAGAGGCGACAGCTAGTCCTGTAGATAGTGATGTAGCCAGTTCCACGTTGATACCTACCAAACAACGGGGTTAACGAGTTAATGCAATAAAGGAGAGAGGCTGTAGCTAGTCCTGTAGATAGTGATGTAGCCAGTTCCACGTTGATACCTACCAAACAACGGGGCCAACGAGTTAATACAATAAGGGAGTGCTACAGCTAGTCCTGTAGATAGTGATGTAGCCAGTTCCACGTTGATACCTACCAAACAACAGAATTAACGAGTTAATACAATAAAGGAGAAAGGCTACAGCTAGTCCTGTAGATAGTGCTGTAGCCAGTTCCACGTTGTTACCTACCAAACAACGGAATTAACGAGTTAATACAATAAAGGAGAGAGGCTACAGGTAGTCCCGTAGATATTGCTGTAGCCAGTTCCACGTTGATATCTACCAAACAACGGAGCTAACGAGTTAATGCAATAAAGGAGAGAGGCTGTAGCTAGTCCTGTAGATAGTGCTATAGCCAGTTCCACGTTGATACCTACCACACATCGGAGTTAACGAGTTAATACAATAAAGGAGAGAGCCTGTAGCTAGTCGTGTAGATAGTGATGTAGCCAGTTCCATGTTGATACCTACCAAACAACGGAGTTAACGAGTTAATACAATAAAGGAGATAGGCTGTAGCTAGTCCTGTAGATAGTGATGTAGCCAGTTCCACGTTGATACCTACCAAACAACGGGGTTAACGAGTTAATGCAATCAAGGAGAGAGGCTGTAGCTAGTCCTGTAGATAGTGATGTAGCCAGTTCCACGTTGATACCTACCAAACAACGGAGTTAACGAGTAAATACAATAAAGGAGTGAGGCTGTAGCTAGTCCTGTAGATAGTGATGTAGCCAGTTCCACGTTGATATCTACCAAACAACGGAGTTAACGAGTTAATACAATAGAGGAGAGAGGCTGTAGCTAGTCCTGTAGATAGTGATGTAGCCAGTTCCACGATGATATCTACCAAACAACGGGGTTAACGAGTTAATACAATAAAAGAGAGAGGCGACAGCTAGTCCTGTAGATAGTGATGTAGCCAGTTCCACGTTGATACCTACCAAACAACGGGGTTAACGAGTTAATGCAATAAAGGAGAGAGGCTGTAGCTAGTCCTGTAGATAGTGATGTAGCCAGTTCCACGTTGATACCTACCAAACAACGGGGCCAACGAGTTAATACAATAAGGGAGTGCTACAGCTAGTCCTGTAGATAATGATGTAGCCAGTTCCACGTTGATACCTACCAAACAACAGAATTAACGAGTTAATACAATAAAGGAGAAAGGCTACAGCTAGTCCTGTAGATAGTGCTGTAGCCAGTTCCACGTTGTTACCTACCAAACAACGGAATTAACGAGTTAATACAATAAAGGAGAGAGGCTACAGGTAGTCCCGTAGATATTGCTGTAGCCAGTTCCACGTTGATATCTACCAAACAACGGAGCTAACGAGTTAATGCAATAAAGGAGAGAGGCTGTAGCTAGTCCTGTAGATAGTGCTATAGCCAGTTCCACGTTGATACCTACCACACATCGGAGTTAACGAGTTAATACAATAAAGGAGAGAGCCTGTAGCTAGTCGTGTAGATAGTGATGTAGCCAGTTCCACGTTGATACCTACCAAACAACGGAGTTAACGAGTTAATACAATAAAGGAGATAGGCTGTAGCTAGTCCTGTAGATAGTGATGTAGCCAGTTCCACGTTGATACCTACCAAACAACGGGGTTAACGAGTTAATGCAATCAAGGAGAGAGGCTGTAGCTAGTCCTGTAGATAGTGATGTAGCCAGTTCCACGATGATACCTACCAAACAACGGAGTTAACGAGTAAATACAATAAAGGAGTGAGGCTGTAGCTAGTCCTGTAGATAGTGATGTAGCCAGTTCCACGTTGATATCTACCAAACAACGGAGTTAACGAGTTAATACAATAGAGGAGAGAGGCTGTAGCTAGTCCTGTAGATAGTGATGTAGCCAGTTCCACGATGATATCTACCAAACAACGGGGTTAACGAGTTAATACAATAAAAGAGAGAGGCGACAGCTAGTCCTGTAGATAGTGATGTAGCCAGTTCCACGTTGATACCTACCAAACAACGGGGTTAACGAGTTAATACAATAAAGGAGAGAGGCTGTAGCTAGTCCTGTAGATAGTGATGTAGCCAGTTCCACGATGATATCTACCAAACAACGGAGTTAACGAGTTAATACAATAAAGGAGAGAGGCTACAGGTAGTCCTGTAGATAGTGATGTAGCCAGTTCCACGTTGATACCTACCAAACAACGGGGTTAACGAGTTAATACAATAAAGGAGATAGGCTGTAGCTAGTCCTGTAGATAGTTATGTAGCCAGTTCCACGTTGATACCTACCAAACAACGGAGCTAACGAGTTAATGCAATAAAGGAGAGAGGCTGTAGCTAGTCCTGTAAATAGTGATGTAGTCAGCTCCACGTTGCCCGAAATGATACTCTCCTTGCTTTGCCCAGGCTATACCCTGTGTACATTCCTACTTTACAACAATTACTGTATACGGATTCCTCTTTGAGGGAGGAGAGTCACATCATTATCAACTCCTTGAGGAGTATACAGTAATGGTATCACCTAGTCAAAGGACCAACAGCTACCAGTTACAGTCATTCCCGTAGAGGATACCAATGATTATAGTTTTATTAGTAGACATAGAATAATGCGAAGCTGATTTCTCATCACAATATCCACCATTACAACCACCTGGACATGAACCCAACAGATCCACAGTGGCCGTGACTGAAGCTCAAATACCCAGACACGCAGAACGTCACATATATTTTGGAAGAACCACACCATTTTTCGGAGCAGTGTGTTCGTATTAATAATTACCAGACCATCAGGAATTATACTGTACACGCTTAAAGAACAGTGGGCATAAGCTACCACTTTCCCGGTCATTCTGAAGATTGTACCATCAACCATTAACTATTAATTTCAACCCCAGATATTGAAAAATACCTACCTGATACACCATCACGTGTCAACCCATTGCATGACGTACTTCCACTTGAACAGTTCTTGCAGTCAGTCCCGTAGTAGGAGTCTACACATCCAGACACACAGGATGACCCCAGCTGACAATATCCTCCATCACAACCACCTGGACATGCTGTACAGCTACCTCCTGGACTGTCACATGGTATGTGGCACCCAATACCTTCATATCCTGGCTCACAACCCTCGGTGCACCGTCCACTACCGTCGGCAGATTGATTACACAGGTTACCTTTACAATGACCATCGCACACAGAGACACATTTTAGATCAAAGTACCCCGTGTCACACTCAGTGAGGCAATGTCCTGTCGTGCTGTCACAGTCAGAACAGTGCTGGTCGTTCATACATGGACCCGCTGAAAGTTAGGATATAGGTATTTATAATATGGTAATTTAATGGCATTTAACATACTGAGTGAGATGCGTAAATAGCATTCGTAGTTCTAAAGCTGATCCAGAAAATTAATATAGTGATCGCTATGGCTTTGAACTACACAGCTGACTACCTACCTAGAGTATACAGCACCACGTGTGCTATCCATATGCATAGAATCTCAATAGTCCAGCCATATGACGGCGGGGGACACCAGAAGTGGCCTTCACACAATGTACCCAAGTGAGGAATCGAATCCGAGTCTTCGGCGTGGCGAGCGAACGCTTTAACCACTGGGCTATCCTATCGCTCGCAAAGGGGATGACCCAAGCTCAGCTAGGAGAATGTATGGAGTGTAGTGTCTGTTCTAAATTGTAGCATACATATCTGTAGACTAAGGAATACTTTTGGCACAGTTCAAAGTAGCACACGCACGCACGCACACATACTTGCGTGTACATAGTCGCTACATATGGGCAACAATGTTCAACACAACGGTAAACGTCAATCACCCTACTACGTCAACACCAGCTGATACTTACGGGGTTGTTGGACTTATTTGACCCACCTGTTTACAACTGAGCAACTGTAGGTGAACCTAGAGGAATCTGTTTCTGTCATGTGTCGGAGGTAGCTCGATTTGTTGTACACAACTAGCATCTATTGTTGTAAGGAATACTTCCCCCTCACAGGGATGTTGAACATGTACTCAGCGTCAAGGAAATAGTTCCCAGATTAAATGTTTCAAACACTGAGAAATGTCGAGCAATGTATTGATATTCAAATTACAAGGTAAAAGTTGGTATTTTTAAGTTAACAGTTGTTATATTGATAAACAGATCTGCATGAACGGGGACATAACAGGTGTGTTGGTAGAGTCAGATTGTCGGACGATCACAACCAAGTTTAAGATCAATTTTCTTGAGTGGCCTTTTAGAAGTTTGCAAGTACAATAATGTCAATTTCTATTGCCTTGCAAGATCGACAACGGTACAATAATGTGTGTTGTTATCCAAATGTAACTGTCAGTTTGTAATGTAAATTATTGGATCAATTTCACTTCGCAAAGGAACTGTACTCTTGATCAGTTCGTTCGCGCGCTCGTGCGTGTGGGAAATGCGTTACTCTGGGGATCTATTCTTGCAAATTGTACTGAACACCATTTGCAAAATATGCAACAAAGTAAACATTGGCTTTGAAGAAATGTCCGATCGGAAAACTATGCCTGTTTCATGTTTGAGGAAATAACGCCATTACAATGGCTCAATCGTCAGGCCAATATTTGTCAGAGCTGATTCCACACACAACTCCAGAACGAGGTTTAATTAGGGGTATTATCTTAACTAACCAGCATTTGAGTGGATGCTCTTGAGGAATCGTGATGAAGACATGTGATGATATGAAACCTTGGGCTTCTGGTCACAATCACAGTAGAACGAGTGTACACACTTCCGGTGTGTTGGGAGCGATATGAAACTATAGGAACAAGGTACATGGATTCACGTTTAACGTTTCTCTCTTCATCACACCAACCTCAAAAATGCCACTTAAATAGGGTTTAAAAGTAATTTATTAAAAAATGTAAAATAGCTTGAAGATGACAAACTACATTCAATACTTGAACCAGAATGTACAAGAAGGATGTAGAAGACGGCGTTTATACACGGAACCTTGCAGAGGTGAAACAAGGAAATATGAAACTCCTTCCAGCTTCCAAGCAGCGATAACAAACCCTCGTTGGCTTAGAAATGTCCACAAGCTTGCAAAAGAGTAACCAATTTGTGTCAGGCATATCACAGTTAAAAGCACCCGTTGTTGGCAGCTCCCATGAAGTTCCGGGTTAGAGCTGGTCTTCAGTAACCGGTACTTGTCTTAAGAGATGACTAACGGGATCGGGTGGTGAGGCTCGCTGGCTTGGTTGACACATGTTATTGAATGCAACCGATCGATGGTCATGATGTTGAGCACTGGATTATCTGGTCCAGACTCGATTATTTATAGATCACCGCCAAACAGTTCAGATGGTGCTGAGTGCTTCGTTAAAACCAAACATGATAACACTAATGTACGGCTCCTGTAAGACACGGCTGCATCTTGATAACACTAATGTACAGCTCCTGTAATCACGGCTGCATCTTGATAACACTAATGTACGGCTCCTGTAAGACACGGCTGCATCTTGTTAATATCGTGGACAATAATTACCACATGTTGCAAGATAGTATCGTGGACAGTAATTACCACATATTGCCAGAAGTCTTTTGAAACTAACCTATGTTTCATGTCTCGCTCAAGATAGTTGCAAAGTAATAAAGCAGAATTATTTAACCTCTTACAGTAAGGCAAGACCAGTGGAATGAACCAGCAGGTAAACATCACATCAATGTGAGTACTATGAGTCTGCAAACAGGGTTATTAGTGACATTTCCAAAATACTCAACTTCTAAGCATGTGATAACTTGGAGTATATATTGTCAATAACAGCAGGAGATTGCCGCTCGCCTCCATCTGCAACGTCATAAACATCATCCTCTACACCAGCAGCTTCACCTCCATCTCGATAGTTCCGACCAGATGATTCATAAGCCATGACTGTGTCCGACCTTGGTATGTCAGTATACCATTCCAGCTCATCAACAGAGACGTCGTCCATCTCGGCAACGTTGTTCCTCACATCAGCTTCCGTGTGGGTGACGCTGTGAAATGAGAACGATGTAATATGTCGCCATCAACAGCGGACCAGCATTTAATTAAATATGCCATCGAATTGTTTCTGTATTTGTCCTTGATTTACTTTATTCAATGTTTATATTTTAATCCTTTGTTCTGAATATTTCCGATTTTGCAGATATACAACGTTATATCACATTGGACCTGTCTAAACAGATTCTGTACAGTTACAATACACATTGAAAACATCTTGCGCAATACAATCACGTATATTACAATACAGGACGCGCCCTGTTCAGCCACAACTGGCGACCTATCTACCGTAATCGTCCTGTCTGAGATTTTGTTCAAGATGCTCGAAGAATCATTGCTTTGTGTGAGTGAGGTGAGCATTGAACAACATTCGGGTGCGTTATTGTCATGGTGGAGGAGAGGCCGGAGTGACAAAGGTCTCTGACTGTGGGGAAACCATATGTACTGGAATAGAGCTATCAAACATAGAAACATATCTAGCGCAATCTGGGACTCGAACCCGCGACAATAGGCTTTCGACGTATCAAATGGACGCGACTCTGTACAGCTAAATACGGCGCTTTAGACAAGCCACATGGTCCTACTGATAGTACTAAGTTGAATAGGCAAACCAGTAGAGTATAATGTGAAAAAGACTATGTATTATACCACTGAAGAAGCTTGGTTATATATTTGTGGCCTTGTATTGTATGTCAACTACTTTCTGGTACTCGCCGAGAATACCTGCACCATTGAGGTGGTGTGATGATATATTTGTGGCCTTGTGTTATATGTCAACTATCTTCTAGTACTCGACGACAATACCTGCACAATTGAGAAGGTGTGATGACATATTTATTGCCTTGTGTTATATGTCAACTACTTTCTAGTACTCGCCGGGAATATCGTCACCATTGAAGAGGTGTGATGATATATCTGTAGCCTTGTGTTATATGTCAACTTCTTTATAGGACTCGCCGGGAATATCGGCACCATTGAGGAGGTGTGATGATATATTTGTGGCCTTGTGTTATCTGTCAACCACCTTCTAGTACTCGACTGGAATACCCGCACCATTGGATGAGGTGTGATGATATATGTGTGGCCTTGTGTTATATGTGAAGTACCTTCTACAACTCGCCAATAATAGGTGCACAATTGAAGAGAAGTGATGATATATTTGTAGCCTTGTGTTATATATCAACTACTTTCTAGTACTCGCCGGCAATACCTGTACCATTGAGGAGGTGTGATGATATATTTGTGGCCTTGTGTTATATGTCAACTAGCTTCTAGTACTCGCCGACAATACCTGCACCATTGAGGAGGTGTGATGATATATTTGTGGCCTTGTGTTATATGTCAACTACTTTATAGGACTCGCCGGGAATACCGGCACCATTGAGGAGGTATGTTGATATATTTGTGGCCTTGTGTTATATGTCAACTACTTTCTGGTACTCGACTGGAATACCTGCACCATTGAATGAGGTGTGATGATATATTTCTGGCCTTGTGTTATATGTCAACTACTTTCTAGTACTCGCCGGCAATACCTGCACCATTGAGGTGGTGTGATGATATATTTGTGGCCTTGTGTTATATGTCAACTATTTTATAGAACTCGCCGGGAATACCTGCACCATTGAGGAGGTGTGACGATATATTTGTGGCCTTGTGTTATATGTCAACTACTTTCTGTTACTCGACTGGAATACCTGCACCATTGAATGAGGTGTGATGATATATTTCTGGCCTTGTGTTATATGTCAACTACTTTCTGGTACTCGACTGGAATACCTGCACCATTGAATGAGATGTGATGATATATTTCTGGCCTTGTGTTATATGTCAACTACTTTCTAGTACTCGCCGGCAATACCTGCACCATTGAGGTGGTGTGATGATATATGTGTGGCCTTGTGTTATATGTCAACTACTTTATAGAACTCGCCGACAATACCTGCACCATTGAGGTGGTGTGATGATATATTTGTGGCCTTGTGTTATATGTCAACTACTTTATAGAACTCGCCGACAATACCTGCACCATTGAGGAGGTGTGATGATATATGTGTAGCCTTGTGTTATATGTCAACTTCTTTCTGGTACTCGACAGGAATACCCGCACAATTGAGGAGGTGTGATGATATATTTGTAGCCTTGTGTTATATGTCAACTACCTTCTAGTACTCGACTGGAATACCTGCACCATTGAATGAGGTGTGATGATATATGTGTGGCCTTGTGTTATATGTGAACTACCTTCTACAACTCGCCGATAATACCTGGACAATTGAAGAGAAGTGATGATATATTTGTAGCCTTGTGTTATATATCAACTACTTTCTAGTACTCGCCGGGAATACCTGCACCATTGAGGTGGTGTGATGATATATTTGTGGCCTTGTGTTATATGTCAACTAGCTTCTAGTACTCGCCGATAATACCTGCACCATTGAGGAGGTGTGATGATATATTTGTGGCCTTGTGTTATATGTCAACTACTTTATAGGACTCGCCGGGAATACCGGCACCATTGAGGAGGTATGTTGATATATTTGTGGCCTTGTGTTATATGTCAACTACTTTCTAGTACTCGCCGGCAATACCTGCACCATTGAGGTGGTGTGATGATATATTTGTGGCCTTGTGTTATATGTCAACTATTTTATAGAACTCGCCGGGAATACCTGCACCATTGAGGAGGTGTGATGATATATTTGTGGCCTTGTGTTATATGTCAACTACTTTATAGAACTCGCCGGGAATATCGGCACCATTGAGGAGGTGTGACGATATATTTGTGGCCTTGTGTTATATGTCAACTACTTTCTGTTACTCGACTGGAATACCTGCACCATTGAATGAGGTGTGATGATATATTTCTGGCCTTGTGTTATATATCAACTACTTTCTAGTACTCGCCGGCAATACCTGCACCATTGAGGTGGTGTGATGATATATGTGTGGCCTTGTGTTATATGTCAACTACTTTATAGAACTCGCCGACAATACCTGCACCATTGAGGTGGTGTGATGATATATTTGTGGCCTTGTGTTATATGTCAACTACTTTATAGAACTCGCCGACAATACCTGCACCATTGAGGAGGTGTGATGCTATATGTGTGGCCTTGTGTTATATGTCAACTTCTTTCTGGTACTCGACAGGAATACCTGCACAATTGAGGAGGTGTGATGATATATTTGTAGCCTTGTGTTATATGTCAACTACCTTCTAGTACTCGACTGGAATACCCGCACCATTGAATGAGGTGTGATGATATATGTGTGGCCTTGTGTTATCTGTCAACTACCTTCTAGTACTCGACTGGAATACCTGCACCATTGAATGAGGTGTGATGATATATTTGTGGCCTTGTGTTATATGTCAACTACTTTCTAGTACTCGACCACAATACCAGCACCATTGAGGAGGTGTGATGATATATTTGTGGCCTTGTGTTATATGTCAACTACCTTCTAGTACTCGTCGGGAATATCGTCACCATTGAGGTGGTGTGATGATATATTTGTAGCCTTGTGTTATATGTCAACTACTTTCTAGAACTCGCCGACAATACCTGCACCATTGAGGAGGTGTGATGATATATTTGTGGCCTTGTGTTATATGTCAACTACTTTATAGAACTCGCCGGCAATACCTGCACCATTGAGGTGGTGTGATGATATATTTGTGGCCTTGTGTTATATGTCAACTACATTCTAGTACTCGACTGGAATATCTGCACCATTGAGGAAGTATGATGATATATGTGTGGCCTTGTGTTTTATGTCAACTACTTTCTAGAACTCGCCGGCAATACCTGTACCATTGAGGAGGTGTGATTATGTATGTGTGTGACCTCATCCAATACGTCAACTACGTTATAGAACTCGCTGCGAATATCTGCAAATTGTTGATGCTGAGTAAAACAACTTTCACTCACTTTCATTGCTTTCTATTATTTAATATGAGTCGAATCATTGAAATGATAACATCATTGCTAAAGGTATATAGTTTTGTGCTTGTAAATTAAGCATTGCACAGCCTTGGTGAAATGTGTGTGTGTTTGTTTCAGCTCTTTGAAGTGATTATAGTTTTACACCGCACTCAGCAATAATCCAACTATATGGCTGAGCTCTGTGAAGTGAAATGTGTATGCTATTTTATCATCATCTATGTTTCAGTTCTTTCAGATAGACCTGGACTTAAATGGATGCTGGGGTTGTATGTCTTCTGTCCAGTTTGGCTTGGTCTACACTGACCCCTGTGTAAGCATGTCCAGCATGGCTTGGTCTACACTGACCCCTGTGTAAGCATGTCCAGCATGGCTTGATCTACACTGACCCCTGTGTAAGCATGTCCAGCATGGCTTGGTCTACACTGACCCCTGTGTAAGCATGTCCAGCATGGCTTGGTCTACACTGACCCCTGTGTAAGTATGTCCAGCATGGCTTGGTCTACACTGACCCCTGTGGAAGCATGTCCAGCATGGTTCAATTGACAGATTACAGACAATATTGTTGACTGCAGCTCTATTGTTGACTCACTCACCGGTTTCGCCTCCAGCGCTGTCTATACTTCCAGGACAGGACCAGGAAGATCCCCACGAGGAAACTGACCGCTACTGTGGACAGTCCAACAGGGAGTCCCGGGCTTCCACCTGACAAGGAACAAGGTTAACTTGTTATATACATAACGAACAGCAAGTCCCAATTCGAAACTCTAATACTAAAAACAGCAGACGATTCGTAAACATCTGACAAACGTGGTTAGGGAAGTTCCCACCATTACAACGCCGGCCGACAGACCAGTAGGACTCCCGGCTTCCTTGGGGGTATACTGAACCTATTAACACTGAAAACACAACAACAGATCCACCGTGGCCGTGACTGAAGCTCAAATACCCAGACACGCAGAACGTCACATATTCTGAAAGAATCACACCATTTTTCGGAGCGTCAGTAAACCAGTGTGTTCGTACTGATAATTACCAGACCCTCAGGAATTATACAATACACTCTTAAAGAACTGTGGGCATTAGCAACCACTTTCCCGGTCATTCTGAAGATTGTACTATTAACTGTTAATGTTTCAACCCCAGACATTGAATAATATCTACATGATACATCATCACGTGTCAACCCACTGCATGACGTACATCCACGTGAACTATTCCTGCAGCCAGACCCGTAGAGTCACATCATTATCAACTCCTTGAGGAGTATACAGTAATAGTGTCAAAGGACCAACAGCTACCAGTTACAGTCATTCCCGTAGAGGATACCAATGATTATAGTTTTATTAGTAGACATAGAATAATACGAACCTGATTTCTCATCACACGTCCTTGTCGACCTGTTGCATGACGTACATTCACTGGAACACTTCTTACAGCCAGTCCCATAGTAGGAGTCTACACATCCAGACACACAGGATGAGCCCAGCTGACAATATCCTCCATCACAACCACCTGGACATGCTGTACAGCTACCTCCTGGACTGTCACATGGTATGTGGCACCCAATACCTTCATATCCTGGCTCACAACCCTCGGTGCACCGTCCACTACCGTCGGCAGACAGATTACACAGGTTACCGTTACAATGACCATCGCACACAGAGAAACATTTCTGATCAAAGTACCCCGTGTTGCACTCAGTGAGGCAATGTCCCGTCGTGACGTCACAGTCAGAACAGTGCTGTTTGTCCAAACATGGGCCAGCTGAAATTTTAGGATGGAAATAGATAAATGCTTATAATGTGTGCCTGAAAATACAGTGTATACTTTTTTTTATTATATTTTGTGTTATTTTTAAATAAGAAACACGCACGATTGCGAGTAAGACGGTAATAAATTTCAGTTTGACATTTCTGTACACATATTGGCACCTTTATTTGCATGAAAAATAATAGAAACATTTGAAATTGATACATAAGTCACCAACTCCACATTGCGGGATGTAGACAAACGGTTGGCACCTCTGAATGTGTGAGTATCAGTTGCCTGACCACAGTTTACCAAAAGATGTTAAAAGATGGAACTTGTTTTTGCCTTGCCTGGTAATCAACAAAAAGAGGACGATCTGCTGCGTGATTTGTGGAGTCCTGTTTAACTGTTGTATTGTTACAACTAGAATTTGTAAAATATATTCCAGACTAAAATGCACGCACGCACATGAGAACACACGCACATAAACACACACACACACACACACACACACACACATACATGCATGCATGCATATTCCTAATTACAATTTACGCCAAATGAACCTGAACAACGCGATATTCCACTTCTCTCCTGATCACGAATGAAAACCCTCTCTTCAATCATGTAGCAATGTCCTCATGTCAACATAACTTATCGATATTAAAATATACAATCACTAGATCTCCACAATTAGCAACAAAATGTTTTACCTTCAGTGGCAATTATCCAGCCTGCTTTCCACATGACCACGAGAGAAGCCATATTGTTGACTAAAACTGATATGGAAAGATGGGTGGAGATGAGGAAATTGCACAGTCACATGGACAAAGACAAGTGTGGGGGTAAATGTGAAGCGGTGGTGGGGGGTGGGGAGGTGTGGTGGGGGGTATATGCGTAATCAGCTGACCAGTTTCTTTCATGATGAGAGACAATTCATGTGTCTTGATGGTTGTATTATTTCCCCCCTTACACGGAAGATGGAAACAATATCACGTAAAGAGACGAAACAGTACTACACTGATTCACTGACAGAGACACACGATATAGTGGTGACCTGTACATTCCCCAGGAAGCTGAACAATACACAGAGTGAAGGTGTTGTACGGGGTCGTATGGAAACAGTGAACAAAGACTTACCTGTAGCACATACATGTCAGCCGAGGCTGGTGCTTCATGCCATCCTGTAGTTGACCATCCTTCTTTCATAATCACAAAAGTATTCTTGTTGTGTTTCAAAGCCACACAACCGCCGCTGTGGTGTAGTGGTTAGGAGAGCGGAAGGTCGAGGGTTCGAACCCCGGCCGTGTCATACCAAAAGACGTTAAAAATGGTACTTGTTCGTCCCTGCCTGGCGCTCGGCATTAATGGGTACAACAAGGACTGGTCCGTTCGGAGTCAGCATAATGTGTCTGAGTGGGGTATTCATTCTTTAAAACTGCGGCATCGTATATGAGTGTGCAAGCACTATAAAAGCAGCCACACATACACACGCATGCACGTCGTCATACGAGCGAAATATTTGTAAGTACGACGGTAAACCCCATTTCAATTCACCTAGAAGACACACAAAAATATATCTTGTACGTATAAATCTGTGGTTTCGTGTAAATGTTTACAGGAAGAATTCGAACGATAATGTAGACAGAGAATGGTTCATTTTCGGCAGTTGGTTGTCGTATAACAAGGACGTTAAACACCAGGCAGCCCAAACTCACTACAACACCCCATCCTCAAGGACGTTAAACACCAGGCAGCCCAGACTCACTGTGACACCCCATCCTCAAGGACGTTAAGCACCAGACAGCCCAGACTCACTGTGACTCCCCATCCTCAAGGACGTTAAACACCAGACAGCCCAGACTCACTGTGACTCCCCATCCTCAAGGACGTTAAACACCAGGCAGCCAGACTCACTACAACACCCCATCCTCAAGGACGTTAAACACCAGGCAGCCCAGACTCACTACAACACCTCATCCTCAAGGACGTTAAACACCAGGCAGCCCAGACTCACTACAACATCCCATCCTCAAGGACGTTAAACACCAGGCAGCCCAGACTCACTACAACAACCCATCCTCAAGGACGTTAAACACCAGGCAGCCCAGACTCACTGCAACACCCATCCTCAAGAACGTTAAACACCAGGCAGCCCAGACTCACTACAACGCCCTATCCTCAAGGACGTTAAACACCAGACAGCTCAGACTCACTACAACACCCCATCCCCAAGGACGTTAAACACCAGACAGCCCAGACTCACTACAACACCCCATCCTCAAGGATGTTAAACACCAGACAGCCCAGACTCACTACAACACCCCATCCCCAAGGACGTTAAACACCAGACAGCCCAGACTCACTACATCACGCCTCTTGCGACAAGCATGGCTTACTAAAGATCAATATTCTAACCCGGATCTTCATCGGTAGAATCGGTAGATATACCTGAACTGAGAGAACGGTTCAGTTCAGCTGATAACTTCGACCAATGAAAGATGTAAAACAATACAAATCATAAATCTCGAGGAATCTGGTTTCTGATCTATAAATCTCTTATGTATTGTCAATGATGTGATGCAAGTAAAGGATGTTTATGTTGTGATCCAAACAAAGGATGTTGATGGTGTGATATAAGCAAACAATGGCGATGCTGTGATCCTAGTAGGGGATGTTGATGATGTGATATAAGTAAAGGATGTTGATGCTGTGATCCAAATAGTGGATGTTGATGTTGTGATCCAAGCAAAGGATGTTGATGTTGTGATCCAAGTTAAGGATGTTGCAACACACGCAATATATGTGTGTGTGTGTGTGTGTGTGTGTGTGTGTGCGCGCGCAGCGCGTGTGTGTGTGTGTGTTGCAGAAAATCTGTTTCACTTCCCTTTAAACTGACAGTCAAAGCTGGTGTTCTATGGTGCATCCAGGGGGTGATACACATACTTCAGTACAAACATGGTGGAAATACGTACAATATACTTCCTTGTAACGGTGACACAATTGTGCAGTATGTAGATTATGAACACCGCGTGGCCGGGGTTTTACTAAATCCGGAAGAAAGCAACAGTTCTAGTTTCCTTTAGATTAATACGAATTAATATCAGGATTTGTTTCGGTACGATGAGGGTGACAGCAATTTTACAGCACATTTAAACAAAACGGAAATAATTCAGGAAGTTTCATAACAATGAATTATTTTCAAAACGTTTGAGAAATACAGAATAAAACAGTATCTAACTTTATTACACATCAGACCTCGTCATAGGAGGAACACACAAACATATATGAAATTATACTGCTGGCAAAGGATAAAAGTGAAGCCTTAACAGTTTTCATGATGAGATCAGTGTAATACGTTTTATTGGGCAGAGATATGTTAAGTAGTTCTATGAACGTTAGCATATTTGTTGATTCTTGTAATCACATGGATATGAATATCGTTACAATTTGTACATTTACAAATGTCTTGTCATGCACCCAGTATCGTGTCACTCAATAGACCTGTACCTGTAGAGACCTGTCAACAAGCCGACATCCCATCACAAACATTTGCCTCCTGTAGACATGGCAACGGCTCTATCTGCGTGGTCCAAGATGTGTATTGTATTTCGAGAACCCTAAACACTTGACGGAACAATTTAACGTTCACAGATCATTGATCTCGTTTCTCTCGCAACTGTCTACATGGACTAGGACACGTGGTGTGTTTGAATGTTGTACCGAGCTCATAGTCAGAACGGCTAGGGTAGGCTGTTTTCACCGACAAGAAGGCACATCGTGCATCCCAGCTCAATCAACGACAGCGTACTGAGGATCATCAATGTTCTCTGCTGGGGCATGGATGTCCTGGATAGGGGTGACGTACAGCTGGAACCTGCAACATGTGTCAGTATCTATATTTAACACTTTAAACCACAGTCAGTTAAGGGCGGGAATTTATGGATGTCAACTTCTTTATCGCAAGCCTAAACACTACTTCCCTGATGACGGAGTATGAATATACCTCGAAACGTCGTGTTCGTCAATATACAGAAGCTGACATTCATACATTCTTTCCTTATGTGGATCTAAATGCCGTTTAAAGGTGGATTGGTTTGTTGTTTAACGCTGAACTCAGCAATATGCCAGCTATATGTTGGCGGTCTGTAAATAATCGAGCCTGGACCAGTGATTGGCGCCATACGGTAAGATAACAGAAGATGTGTTTATGGATCACTGCCAAATAGTGATGATGCTAGGGATGATACCAAGAATGAATGTCTCCTGTCTCACTCACCTGTCTCATCTCGGATGTCGACAACAGGCACACAACAAGGACGACGATAACAAGGACGACGATAACAATGACGAGAACTGATGCTGTAGCTAGTCCCACAGATAGTCCCAATCCTGACAAGGAACAAGAACGTTTTGTATCAAGAAAGAAACACCTGGGACATAAACATAACACATCTTAATTCATGTTCTTGTCCTGCAAATCCTGACAAAAGGGTTCACAAGACATGTTTATAGTGAGTGTCAGGTATGACAAATGCCTAAGCAGGGTTAACAAGGTATGTTTACAGTGAGTGTCAGGTATGACAACGGTTTAACAAGCGTTAACAAGGCATGTTTACAGTGAGTGTCAGATATGACAACGGTTTAACAAGGGTTAAAACGGCACGTATAGAGTGAGCGTCAGGTATGACAACGGTTTAACAAGGGTTAACAAGGCAAGTATACAGTGGGTGTCAGGTATGACAACGGTTTAACAAGGGTTAACAAGGCATGTTTACAGTGAGTGTCAGATATGACAACGGTTTAACAAGGGTTAAAACGGCACGTATAGAGTGAGCGTCAGGTATGACAACGGTTTAACAAGGGTTAACAATGCACGTATACAGTGATCGTCAGGTATGACAAATGCCTAAGAAGGGTTAACAATGCATGTTTACAGTGGATGTCAGGTATGACAACGGTTTAACAAGGTTTAACAAGGCATGTTTACAGTGAGTGTCAGATATGAAAACGGTTTAACAAGGGTTAAAACGGCACGTATACAGTGGGTGTCAGATATGACAAAGGCCTAACAAGGGTTAACAAGGCACGTATACAGTGAGTGTCAGATATGACAAAGGCAGGACAAGGGTTAACAAGGCACGTATACACGATAACACGAAGGCGACAGGTTCTGGACAGAGATGGGGTGAAATACTTCCTAAATGAGTCAGTTTTTCTCTGATTCCTCCTCTGATCTACAAGTTCTGACTGACACACCTACACTAAGGCCGGACGTTTATACCATAAGGTAATGCCTACCAGTATCACAGTCAGTCCCGTAGTAGGACCTCTATGTCAAAAGGTAATACTTACCAGATTCACAGTCAGTCCCGTAGTAGGATCTTTATGTCATAAGGTAAAACCTACCAGTATCACAGTCAGTCCCGTAGTAGGACCTTTATGCCATAAGGTAATACCTACCAATATCACAGCCAGTCCCGTAGTAGGATCTTTATGCCTAAGGTAATACTAACCAGATTCACAGTCAGTCCCTTAGCAGGACCTTTATGCCATAAGGTGATAAATACCAGATTCACAGCCAGTCCCGTAGTAGGATCTTTATGCCTAAGGTAATACTTACCAGATTCACAGTCAGTCCCTTAGCAGGACCTTTATGCCATAAGGTGATAAATACCAGATTCACAGTCAGTCCCGTAGTAGGATCTTTATGCCATAAGGTAATACTTACCAGATTCACAGTCAGTCCCGTAACAGGACCTGTATGCCATATGGCAATACCTACCAGTATCACAGCCAGTCCCGTAGTAGGACCTTTGTGTCATTAGGTAATACTTACCAGATTCACAGCCAGTCCCGTAGGAGGACCTTTATGCCATAATGTGATACCTACCAGATTCACATTCAGTCCCGTAGCCGGACCTTTATGCCATAAGATAATACCTACCAGATTCACAGCCAGTCCCGTTGTAGGACCTTTATGCCATAAGCTAATACCTACCAGATTCACATTCAGTCCCGTAGCCGGACCTTTATGCCATAAGATAATACCTACCAGATTCACAGCCAGTCCCGTAGTAGGACCTTTATGCCATAAGGTAATACCTACCAGATTCACAGTCAGTCCCGAGGCCGGACCTTTATGCCATAAGATAATACCTACCAGATTCACAGCCAGTCCCGTAGTAGGACCTTTATGCCATAAGGTAATATATACCAGATTCACAGTCAGTCCCGTAGCAGGACCTTTATGCCATAAGGTGCTACCTACCAGATTCACAGTCAGTCCCGTGGTAGGACGTTTATGCCATAAGGTAATATATACCAGATTCACAGTCAGTCCCGTAGTAGGACCTTTATGCCATAAAGTAATACCTACCAGATTCACATTCAGTCCCGTAGCCGGACCTTTATGCCATAAGATAATACCTACCAGATTCACAGCCAGTCCCGTAGTAGGACCTTTATGCCATAAGGTAATATATACCAGATTCCCAGTCAGTCCCGTAGTAGGACCTTTATGCCATAAGGTAATACTTACCAGTGTCACAGCCAGTCCCGTAGTAGGAGTCTACACATCCAGACACACAGGATGACCCCAGCTGACAATATCCTCCATCACAACCACCTGGACATGCTGTACAGCTACCTCCTGGACTGTCACATGGTATGTTGCACCCAATGCCAGAATATCCTGGCACACAACCATCAGTACAGTTACCGCTACCATATTCTGACAGCACACATGTGTTATTCACACAGTTCCTGCTGCAGGTAGACTTACATCGCCGACCATAATACCCAGTGTCACACTCAGTCAGGCAATCTCCCGTCTCTCTGTCACAGTCTGAACAGTGACTGGTGTAATGGCATGGAGCGGCTGAAAGTAATTGTGAAGATATTATTTGATTGTTTGCTGAAATGGAAATATAGAGTTTGTTCTTTAACAAATACACAAGATACCTATGTATGGCAACAGAGTTTCCATACCTATAATACCTGAACATCTCCTGGGTGGAGGCTATTCCTATGAAAGACCAGCAGTACTCGCAAGCCGTAAAAAAATATTCTAAAAAAACCCCAAAACCCTTATTATTTTCAAAAATATGTTGGTCACATAAAAACATATATACGTTGTTCTCATGAATATGACCACAAAGCAGCAAATGCCAGTTTATTGCACTATCAACAGGTCAGTGAAGATAACGTAATGCCTAAAATATCAGAAGTTGAAAGTGAAAGTGACCAAGCTGGAAATATACCTCAACTCATTAGTTTTATCAGTTATATCAACACGAGTTGGTAAAGTTGCAAATATTAGAGGCTTGCCGAGGATATTTTTACTTTTATCAACGAGTATTGATATAATTGATATCAGTAGACACTTCGGTGAGATTATATTTATCATTAGTTTTCAATGAAAAAATCTACATCTCTGCACACGGCACTGCAATTAGACTTGCAGTGCAGTGATGTCATAGCATTGTTATGTCATCACGTTTTTGACGTCATAGCATTGTGAGTCAGGTAATTGATCATGTCAGGGCATCGTATAAAATCTACTGTCAGACACAAGCAACATCTCCAGTGGAACACAGTTTGGGATGATAAGACACTTATCTCCCCTCCCCGCATTTGCCAAGAGTTCTTTTATTGCTACTTCAATGTCCTGGAGCCGTATTAATAAAGATTCTAAGAATTTTCTTAGAAACAATCTAAGAATCCTAAAAATCACACTTAGATAAAAGTTATTCTTAGGAGTGTATCAAAACAAATCTTAGAGTAACTTTTAGCTAAGTCTGACAGACAACTCTTAGAAAATTCTTAAGTGTTGTAACCAAGGACTGAATAACTATTTATAGTAACAATAGAACTCTTCTTTTTCTGAGATCGTATGTTTTATCACGTGATAGTCATGTGATCTCACAAGCACCTGTCGGGTGAAATGAGGTAACTTTACACTTTTTCTCAGTGTACACTCACATTATATGTCCGAATCTTTCATATATCATAAATATACAAATGGATATGGAAATAGCAAAAACACAACTGAACATATAAAGAACATGGAATATACTTTTTCAATGGTATTATCACTTTCAATTTCCATCGTCCATATAAAAACAGATAACCGTAACACCGTGAGAGAACGCGGAATCCCCATCTGTCGTCGGAATCAAAAACCACCTGAACATTCAACGAATGGAAGTTCTTCCTGTTCACATATTCATTCTCATGCTCGGTTGGTGCAATTATCTTCACATGGGTGCCGTCTGTAACCCCTATGACACCCGGGAATCCACCAATGGCATGAAACTGGCGTTGATGGCGTTGGATATCTTGACGATTTATAGGCATTCTAAAGAAACGGCCAATAAGTTGTGGTTTACAAAAGGCATTTAAAGTCTCTGTGATGACATTGCTTAGTGAGGGTTGACTTATTCCAAAGTCATCTCCGTTGCAAAGTTGCATTTTTCCTGTGGCAAGGCACCGAAGGGTAATTGCAACTTTGCTATCAGCGTCTATCGCCATATTCCGCTTGGTTGGCGACGTTAGCTCATTTCTCACCAAATCGGTCACACACCTCATGCCACCACTGTCCAGGCGGTACCGAGATATCAATTCAGTATCATTATATTCATTAAATATATCTTTTCGTGGTCGAAAAACTATCAGGTGGTGACGCTGAGCAGCCATCTTTTCTCAGGTAAGAAAATTCTTAACTTGCTAGGAGTACATGCTGAGGACTCCTAACTTTTTGTAAAGTTAAGAGTAATTCTAAGAGTAAAATCACATTATTAATATGACTTAAGAAAAATCTTACATTTAAGATTAAAAATTGATTTATTCTTAGAATTGACCAGAGTTAAGAATTATTTTTCACTCTTAGAATCTTTATTGATACGGCCCCTGGTCTCAATTATCTTGACTAAAGTATGAATATTAACAAATGTAAACACAGTAGTGACAATACAAGGGTTCACCTTCTGTAGCCATTATCATGCATGCTGTCCACATTATCACCCAGGCAGTCATTCTGTTCACTGTAACAGAACAGAACAATCAACAGATATTCAAAAACATTTTCTGTTAACATCCAAATTGAAATAATAAGATTAAGATCTTAACAACAAAGTAAAGGCAAAAAGGAGAAGCAAAACTGTATACTCCTCAGGAAGCCGAGAACATAATAATGACGGACACTGAACATGCTGCATATTATGGAATCTAGTGATCTATTCATATTTCCAAAAGATGCATTATGTAGATAAGAAGTGTACAAAGTATTATTCATCTTAATTAGAAGTAAGCTTCAAGATTCACAAAAACTGTATATCCTTGTAAGAAAGTTTCAACTCCAATGAACCTGCACAAAGTGAAAGTCAAAAGATTAATAATCTTACATAAACATACATTATTATAGGGCTTCTCACTGTATCTAGGAGCACAGGAAGATATGTCACTGTATCTAGTGCACAGGGCAGTTGTCACTGTATCTAGTAGAGTACAGGGCATGTCACTGTATCTAGGAGGAGCACAGGACTGTCACTGTATCTAGTGTACAGGTCACTGTCACTGTATCTAGTGTACAGGGTTGTCACTGTATCTAGTGTACAGGGTTGTCACTGTATCTAGTGTACAGGGTTGTCACTGTATCTAGTGTACAGGGTTGTCACTGTATCTAGGAGCACAGGGTTGTCACTGTATCTAGGAGCACAGGGTTGTCACTGTATCTAGGATGTACAGGGTTGTCACTGTATCTAGTGTACAGGGTTGTCACTGTATCTAGTGTACAGGGTTGTCACTGTATCTAGTGTACAGGGTTGTCACTGTATCTAGTGTACAGGGTTGTCACTGTATCTAGTGTACAGGGTTGTCACTGTATCTAGTGTACAGGGTTGTCACTGTATCTAGGAGCACAGGGTTGTCACTGTATCTAGTGTACAGGGTTGTCACTGTATCTAGGAGCACAGGGTTGTCACTGTATCTAGGAGCACAGGGTTGTCACTGTATCTAGTGTACAGGGTTGTCACTGTATCTAGGAGCACAGGGTTGTCACTGTATCTAGTGTACAGGGTTGTCACTGTATCTAGGAGCACAGGGTTGTCACTGTATCTAGTGTACAGGGTTGTCACTGTATCTAGTGTACAGGGTTGTCACTGTATCTAGTGTACAGGGTTGTCACTGTATCTAGGAGCACAGGGTTGTCACTGTATCTAGTGTACAGGGTTGTCACTGTATCTAGTGTACAGGGTTGTCACTGTATCTAGTGTACAGGGTTGTCACTGTATCTAGTGTACAGGGCTTGTCACTGTATCTAGTGTACAGGGTCTGTCACTGTATCTAGTGTACAGGGTTGTCACTGTATCTAGTGTACAGGGTTGTCACTGTATCTAGTGTACATCTAGTGTATCTAGGGTACAGGGTTGTCACTGTCACTCTAGTATCAGGGTTGTCACTGTATCTAGTAGCAGTGTAGGGGCTGTCACTGTATCTAGGAGCACAGGGTTGTCACTGTATCTAGTGTACAGGGTTGTCACTGTATCTAGTGTACAGGGCTGTCACTGTATCTAGTGTACAGGGTTGTCACTGTATCTAGTGTACAGGGTTGTCACTGTATCTAGGTGCACAGGGCTGTCACTGTATCTAGGAGCACAGGGTTGTCACTGTATCTAGGTGCACAGGGTTGTCACTGTATCTAGTGTACAGGGTTGTCACTGTATCTAGGAGCACAGGGCTTGTCACTGTATCTAGGAGCACAGGGTTGTCACTGTATCTAGGAGCACAGGGTTGTCACTGTATCTAGTGTACAGGGCTGTCACTGTATCTAGGAGCACAGGGTTGTCACTGTATCTAGGAGTACAGGGTTGTCACTGTATCTAGGAGCACAGGGTTGTCACTGTATCTAGGAGCACAGGGTTGTCACTGTATCTAGTACAGGGTTTCACTGTCAGGGTACAGGGTTGTCACTGTATCTAGTGTACAGGTTGTCACTGTATCTAGGAGCACAGGGTTGTCACTGTATCTAGTGTACAGGGTTGTCACTGTATCTAGGAGCACAGGGTTGTCACTGTATCTAGTATCTAGGGGCAGGGGGTTGTCACTGTATCTAGGAGCACAGGGTTGTCACTGTATCTAGGAGTACAGGGCACAGGGTGTCACTGTATCTAGGAGCACAGGGTTGTCACTGTATCTAGGAGCTAGTCACTGTATCTAGGAGCACAAGGTTGTCACTGTATCTAGTGTACACAGGGTTGTCACTGTATCTAGTGAGCACAGGGTTGTCACTGTATCTAGTGTACAGGGTTGGCACTTTATCTAGGAGCACAGGGTTGTCACTATCTAGGAGCACAGGGTTGTCACTGTATCTAGGAGCACAGGGTTGTCACTGTATCTAGGAGCACAGGGTTGTCATTGTATCTATAAGCACAGGGTTGTCACTGTATCTAGGAGCACAGGGTTGTTGTATCTAGCTCTCACGGTTGTCACTGTATCTATGGCACATGATTGTCACTGTATCTAGGAGCACAGGATTGTCTCTGTATCTAGGGGCACTGGGTGTCACTGTATAAAGGGACAGAGGTTTGTCACAGGTTGTTGCTGTATTTAGGGCACAAGGTTGTCGATGTATCCTGGGGCACAGGGTTGTCACTGTCTATAGGGGCACATTATTTTCACTGTATCTAGGGGCACAGGGTTGTCTCTATCTAGGGTTACAGGGTTGTCACAGATTGATCAGATTGTCCTCCTTACCCGATTGTATTGTAGAGCTGCTACTTTGAAAAGGGGCGCTGTCATAGAAATAGGGTATTTACTTATTTTGCCAAACATCCAATTTGACCCAAGTCAATTGCTATGAGGCAGGTTTTTTTTACCACTTTTGTGTCTTGAAGGACTAGAGATTTGATGAGTTCCATTATGACATGTATTATGTTTCCGTATCAGGTTTGTGATTTTTACAGGAAGGGTTCCTAACAATGAACGTTCTGGTCAACAATATTTTATATTTTTTTATGTCCTCATAGAAATTCAAATGTGAAAACAACTACACGGACACCGAAAGTAGAGGTTAAATCATGTCTTCGTGTGTTACACAGCAATGCATGAAATATTTCCTGGCTGACTGACAGCTTATACATTAACATGGAAACACGAGAACCGAGAACTTGGTTAATTGTTTTCTGACCCTTCACTCATATTTGATGTACTCAAGCTAGGCTAATTTAAACATGAAACCACCTGACTGGTGGAATGTCTTTCTATGAGAATCAAAAACGCCCCGAGTGTAAAAAGTTCAGTTCAGTTAACAGTTCATCTGGATATGATGTGCTCAGTGTGTGTCACGACGGTACACTGTCTGTTGTGAGCATCATGCATTTACTAACACAAAGTCAGGCATATTCTAATAATTTATTCTAACACAACATGATTAATTGAGAAACCAAGTCTATCTACAATGCTTGCACGTAATCCATATACAACTATGAAATTATCAGAAAAAAGGAGGGGTGACTCGACTTGTTCTTCAACGTTTCCATACCAAGATATGAATGAGAGTCGTACTACAATGACTGACTGACTGACTGAGTTTAGTTTTACGCCGCTTTTAGCAATATTCCAGCAATATCACGGCGGGGGACACCAGAAATGGGCTTAACACATTGTGCCCATGTGGGGAATCGAACCCGGGTCGTCGGCGTGACGAGCCAACGCTTTAACCACTAGGCTACCCCACCGCCCCGTACTACAATGATGTGAGTGGTGTGTAGAGAGACATAGTCAACACGGGAACATGTTGGCAGCACAAGTTTACACCGACTGATTCATATCATTATGGAAGGGAAATGAAATACGTGCTGACCTGATATTCTTAGGTAAGTGAAATAACATGCCCTATCTCTCTGTATCAAACCATTAACTTGATCAATCAACATTTGTTTACAATATTTATTGAGGTACGTGTTCCTTCTCTTTAGTGTGTGTGTTTATCAGAAAGGGGCGGTGGGGTAGCCTAATGGTTAAAGCGTTGGCTCGTCACACCGAAGACCCGGGTTCGAATCCCCACATGGGTACAATGTGTAAAGCCCATTTCTGGTGTCCCCCGCCGTGATGTTGCTGGAATATTGCTAAAAGCGGCGTAAAACCAAACTCAATCAATCAGTTTATAAGAAATGTGTTCAGTGACCTTCAACACTGTGCGTGTGCTGATGTTTAGGATATTTAGGTCAGCTTGAATGTTTCTTAAACCTACATACATAAACAAAAGCTTCATATAAAGAGAAAAATAACCGAATCATACTACATTGAGTCCACTAATAAAAGTTACAAAAATATATGTTTTACTATTAGAACAGTACGTCAGTATCGACTTCACTACAACGTGACTATTATGAAAAAGATACATGACAGACCAGAAAAAACAACAAATATTAGGTTTGTATACTCCATGGAGGCTTAACTTTGATAAAGGAAAATCACAAGAGTACAGACCCATGGCGTGCGCTGAGATGTAATGATTGATATAAATGGAAATAAATGTATTCCGAAAACTGTTCTTGTTTTAATTGCCTATAATTAAGTTCATGGCATTAAAACAAGGCGGATGATGTCGGAGACGAAAAAGCCAACTTTGATGATTAAACTTAAGTGAGTTGCTGTGCTGTTTAACTCCACACTTAGTAATAATCCAGCTATATGGCGGCGGTTTCTACATTATCGTGTTTGGACCTGACAATCCGGTCATCAACAGCATGAGCATCGATCTACGCAACTCGGATACGATGACAAGCGTGAACCAAGAAAACGACCCTTGCCACCCGATCCCGGCAGAGTTCCTTTTACAAAAGGCATGATTTACTTAGTTAAACTAAAGACTGTTATTATATAGCAAAAACGTTTTTGGCGGTTGTGCGTTTAGAGGTGCTAATAATCTTGAAATTCAAAAGCACTTTGTCTAAAACTGACCAAGACACGCTAAATATAATGATAAACCCCAATATGGGACCTTTAGCATCTTCCAACACGCTTTCGTGACA